GCAATTGCTCTCTACTTTGTTCCTGCGTCATTTGCTCCATCAATTCGTGATTGTAGGTGGAGTGTAACATTAAAGCCAGTACTCCGGCTCGCGTCGCCATATTCGAACGGATCTGTCTCTCTTGCTCTACGAGCTCGTCGATCTTCAGCCACTGTCTCACCCTCTCCATGTCGATCTCTGCTCGTCGCAACTTCTCCCACATGTAATGTTTCACGCAGCTTTTTTTGGGTGCGCGACAGAATTCGCCCGTAACATCGAACACATTCGTAACCAATGGGCAACCGCATACTTCAGTGTCGCCGATTTTCGGATCCTTGCAGTGCTCCGGACAGAGGACACGAAGTCGCTTGCAGTAGGTCCTGTTCCCAGGATTATAAAAGTCGCAGAACATCACCTGGCCTTCGATGCGCGTTTTAAAGATTGAACCGAAGGACGCTTGTGATTCGTACTGCAAAATAATACAAGAATTATATTTTAATTGTGTACAATAGATATTAATTTTTATGTTATACGATGAACCATACTTTTACATTCGAGTGATTCATTTTGTATGGTCTTTCTATCGCACAATATATATTTTACAATACCTTATTGAAACACTTTTCCATATGTTTAATAGCAGTTCTCGAATGGATCTCGTGGCCACACGTGATACAATACATGCTACTTTCCGTATCGTCATTGTCATCCACCTCTGCTTGTGGATCGATAGTCGCGTGCTTCGCACGCTCGACGATGCGATCCAGCTCGACGTGTCTTTTTTCCAGTTCTTGCAATATCCTGCGGACATCATGTTGTTGCTTTCTAACCGATTCCAGGGCACGCCTGTTGTTCTGTTCAGCAATGCACGCCGTCAATGACCATTCCTGTATCCGCTGTGGTAGCACCTGATAGATCCTACTCGTCGCCAGCTTTAACCCGCAATCGTCCGAACAATATTTACTGCCAGGCCGTGATTGTTTCGTGCATGCGGGTCCATAGCAGTGTCGTGGCGGCTCCAAGTGATCGTTTCTCTCATTACTCGAATCTCTCTTCCGCTTCTTGATCGACTTTGTTCCTTTATTAAGACTCTTGGAAGGTTTCAACGGATCTCCCAATACACGACAGGTCCGTTGTATACATCTGAGCTTTAGTCGCGTTGAAGGCCCGAATTTTTTCAGATGTCTATATATGTGAAATTTAACACAAAGTTAACAACAAGTCATTTAACACAAATTAAATCAAATCGCAAAAAATAATTATATCATAATTATATCTTCATAATTATATCTTTTACGTATTTACCTGCAGGCGTCACATTTTCCACAATTTTCTGTACGTAGACATCCTGTACATTCTCCGCAACGTTTTGAGGACTTTTTTTCTACACTAGGATCATAAGGTGCATCATATTCGTATCGATATCCTCTTTCCTTCTCATATTTTTTATGCTTCCTGTCATCTTGATCAGTCCTACGCGGTTTGTATCGTGTTATCAAAGTGGGATCTTCTTCTCTACAGCGCTGGACATAGTGAATTATATTATTAATAATAAAGAGTAAATATATTATTTGATTGAAAACAAGTTAAAAATCATGCTTACAACACAGAAAAATTGTTTAATATGTTTTGCATCTTTTTCAGTTATGTTTATGCAATCACCATGGTACCACTCTTCACAGGCATCACATCCTCTAAAATAATTGAAAAATAGTAAGAGTAATTTTCTGCCAAATAAGTAGATACAAAAATTTTAAATGATACAGTCATTTCAAACATTAATATTTCAGGAATTTTACTTACATCATAAAACGGGAACTGTCAGAACTTCTACAAATACAATATGCCTGGCCATCTTGTTTCAATAATGTTGCAATTTTGCTTTTTCTTTCTGGCAGCATAAACTGCTTGGCTATTTCTTCTTTCTGCAATATTAAAATTAATCTAAAGCTTCTTTTTGGAAAGAGGTTAGATTACATTTTAATTGTTATAATTTATCTATAAGAATTGTATAAAATAAATGGACAATTTAATTTTGATATGTTGTGATAATATTCTCGTGGCACAATTTATAGGCTAATAAAAATTCTATTTAATATATAATACAGTATCCAATATTCAATTTAATATAGCTGTGTGTATATAATTTTTATAGTTACCGATAAATTATGTTGTCTTTTATCAGCCATAATGAAGTATGTAATACACTTGAAGTAAAAAGAAAATTATATTTCTATCAATTCGCAAGATTTACACTATTTACACGCGCTTTACTAATATCGCCATGGCCATTGCATCAAACCATCAGCTTGGTGCAGTGACGTCAGATTTGAGACTGTGAGATGCAAACAGCAAGCAGCATTAGGGAGGGAATGCTGCACACATGCGTAAGCCACGTATGTACATGTGAGCTCTGCACTTTGGCTTGCTTTGGACACTAGAAAAGAGCAGACATACTATTTCTGTCTCCTTTTCTAATGGTCAGAAATGTTCCATTTTAGCCGGGATTTTATGAAATTGTTAACAGGAGCACATGATGATATAGGAGCTCTACGAGACTACTAGTGCCATCTTTTAATCAGTGCTCTCGTCATTGCAATGCACCTAACATCGGTACACTTATCATCAGCACACTTACCATCAATGGTTTCATTATGTTGCAACAGCTGACAAAAGGCGGCACTAGTAGTCTCGTAGAGCTCCTATATCATCATGTGCTCCTGTTAACAATTTCATAAAATCCTGGCTAAAATGGAATATTTCTGACCGTTCCAGCGGATAATCTTAATCTTTCTACATACTTATTTTTGTTTTTGGGCTACTTTTGACAGTGTTAGGATGCGTAAAATACTTAAATAATTAAAATGTCTTTTTTAAAATATCTAGAAAGTTTTTGTTGCAAAATTCAAAATCGTTAAAGAAATTTAAAAATGACGTCTTTTTTAGAACGTTATTAAAATGTCTTAAAGATGTCTTTTTTAAGTACATTTTTAGGATGTCCTAAGGATATCTTTTTTAGAGTATTTTTTAGAACGTCTTTATATATATAATATATGTATAATATATTAGACATAATTTACATTGTTTACGCGTAGACGCACAAACCTGATAATATAAATAAATATATTTATTTATTAAAATCTAATTTATACTAATCTATTTAAATTTTTAATAAAAATTGTAATAAATGATAATAGACAGATAAATAAGCAAAATAGAAAGTAAAATAAAAGATTAAAAAAAAACACATTAAAAAGTAGACAAAAATAATCAGTTCTTATGTATATAAGAATAATCAATATTGGACGTTTAACTGTAATAGTTCACATCTGCGCCTAAATAATGTCTAACATGTCATCTAAACAAATCTAATTTAATTTGAATTTGATTTTGTTGAAGATATGTTTTAAAGATAGAAATATATATTGTGTTTTAAAAACATTATTTTTTAAAAACATTAACAGTTCATACGTTTAATATAATTGCATTTAATTCTAGCAAAGTTTGAGAAATATTATGTAAATATAAACTCCGGAAATACTAATTTGTAAGTAAATGATCTACAGAAAGGATCAATTTATTTGTTTCGGCTGGACATTATCGTACCACTAGCATAATAGGAAAAAGGAATTATTTAAATGTGTTTTTAACATTTACTTTTAACGCGTTCCTAACAATTCCTACTAGATACGCTTCAAACTGGTTTTAGATAAAGTAAACTAGAATTTTTGTAACAAACTACTTAAGTAATTTTCCTATCTGTGCATAAAATGAAGCTCTATAAGATATTCGTGTAATTTTGTCGTTGATAATAAAGAAACGTAAACGACCTTTTATCATTTGCATTATTATTTAAACTGTATTGTAAATTCCTCTTACTTGTACTTATTTATTTAGCATCTTTGCTTTATAAATGCATCATAGTGTTTGAAAAAAATAATACTTTCTTCAATCTAATTAAAAACTGTAAATTAAAAAATGTAAATATTACATTTTTAATAGATTTATAAAGTCGAAAATTTCTGATCTCAGAAATCAAAAATATCGGACAAGTAATCGTCAATTGTTTTCAAGTCGTTTAATTTTTGCTACGAATTAATTGTCACGGTATTGAAATACTTTGTTTGCTGAAATACTGTTTCGACAGAATATACGATATTTGACGATATTAATGTCTTTATGGTATTTTGCATTAAATCTTATCCACCTTAAACTCACAATATTATGCGAGAGACCTTGACTATTTAAGATCGTACTTCCGAAGAGCCGCATGCCGAGGCTCTTCGATGACAAATGTTTGTTCAGGATTTGCATGTGAATGATCCATGCGGAAGAATTTTAATCTCGATGCCATAAAGAATGGTGTGCTAATAACGCCATTCTCCAGTCATGTAGACGTACTTGATACTTCAAGTGGCAATGTCAACTGCCTGGGTTGCCATTATGTAATTTTTATCTTAATCCTTAAGAATTGATTTTCTAAAATTAAAGTAAATTTTAATCACTTAGGAACTAGATAATGTGTTTTATAAATAACGCAATTGACTTTTAATTAAACGCTTCCACGACGACTATGTGTTTTAGTGATGACACGCGAGTGTCATCACTAAACCGACACCACATTTCGTAAATTCGAATGATAGCAATATAGATAATCAATCTATATGCCATTAAAATTACAAAAAAAACTTTTAAGAATACGGTCTAAAATAATCGCTGTGTCAGTTGGATTAATGACTCATGTATAAAGTCGCAACGACGTCGGCCTCGGAATCTTGGTATCGCGTCTTCCAAGTATCAGAAAAGGAAAGAGAAAGAGAGAGAGAGAGAGAAAGAGAGAAAGAGGTCGGGCACAAATCTGTAGTCGCTATTCCGTAAGTTTATCAACAAATGACCCCGATCATTTCCGGGGCCGCTTCCTACGGAAACGGTGGGCCCATAGGTGCGAGTGGGGCACCTGTTTCTTCGATACTGCGTATAAAAAGCAAGAACGATTCGAGTGGTTAGATCACTGTATCGCAGTCCATCGTCAGCATCGCGGATAAATTCGGCCATTAATTAATAATCATGTCGAATCGATCGTCGAGCATTTTCGCGTGGATTCTACTCGTCCTGGCAACGTTAACAACGGCGTGGCCGACGCTCCGTCGTCGCGACGTCTTCGATAACGCCGTAGACAGTCCTGACGGACTGATCGCGCATCTGCAGCATCTCGGCGAATCGCTCTTCAGATTGCCGGACAACGACACCGGATTAAAGGTCGCGCAGTGGCACGAGGGTATGAACGTAAATCCCGAGGAATTAGGCAACTACGTGGAGGGTGACATCCTGTTTCCGTCCGTTTTCGGAAGGAACGGTCTCAAGTCGGACACCGCGCGGTGGCCTAACGGCATTGTTCCTTTTATGATCAGTCCTTATTTTAGTGAGTATTTGCAATGCAAATATAAAATAGATATTTTAAATTAACAGAATATGAGACGGACAAGTAAAAGCCAAATGTAAATTCTCTCTTTTCATAAAATTCAGACACGCAGCTACAGAAATTTATGTGAAAATCTAAAACTTTAATCATACTAAAACAATAATGCATTATTATCAATGATTTATTTCGCGATTTTGTTGGATTATTCAAATACAAATGTTAAACTACAAATGATTAGCTAAAGATATTTAACAATTTGAATATTTAAAAATTTGCTTGAGCACGGATATCAAAAGCCTGTCTTTTATTGTACAGAATGTGACTGTAATCTCTTTGTTTGTTTCAAACTGCACTCTTTAGATGCACAGCAGCAGAGACTCATATATGACGCGATGGACGACTATCACAAATATACGTGCATCAGATTCAAGCCGTACACGGGCGAGGAAAACGATTATATCAGGATTACGGCGGGCAATACTGGATGCTGGAGCAGCGTGGGCAGAATTGGCGGTCGACAAGATGTAAATCTTCAGGTTCCCGGCTGCGTGACGAAAAAGGGCACCGTGATACACGAACTGATGCATGCCGTCGGTTTTCTGCACGAGCAGAGCAGATACGAGCGAGATAGCTACGTGTACATTCAATGGCAGAATATTATGAACGGTATATATCTTTGCGTTCTAGTCGAATAACAGAATTATTTAAGATATGATGTAATCTTAAATCTAAACGCTTTCTAGAAATGCTTTTCGCGTTGCTCTTTAAACGTTTTCTATTCTAACAACTGTCATTTCTTTCAGCTAAGAATTTTTGTTAATTGCAAAAATATCTCTATACTTTCGAGTAAAAATTTAATTGGCGTATAATTTCTTGTTATTTATTAATATCTAATGTCGACTAACTTTGTAACTAAATCCTCAATTTAAAGTCTATGAAAATAATGCATGCTCTTCATTGTGGTTGGCAATATTTTTGCATATTTCAGCTTCCAGTACATAATTCAAGTCCTAAAAATATCTAGAAAATTTAGATTGCTTTAAGAAATCAAATTTTAATAAATTAAGTCTTGATAAATAATAAATGCCGCAAAAATCTTTATTACAGTCGTGGATGCAATAATTAGCATGATTGGCTGAAATTATTGTCTACAATATAAACTTCTATCTTTATTGTGTGCATTATGTATTTAGGTCACAGTGGCAATTTCGAGAAAGCCTCCAGGGAAACCACCGACGCTTTCGGTGTCGGTTACGATTATAGTAGTGTGATGCACTACTCATCGACGGCATTTTCCAAGAATGGTCAACCTACTATAGTGCCCAGAGTAAGCGATTCGTAATACTTTCATAAACATTTTCCGCATTTTAGCTGTTTTGTTGTCTGTTGCATTATTTCAATTCAATTCTTATTCGAATGATTTAACAAGGCTTATGCAAACGTATTAATTTGTCAATTTAATTAAAAAAAAAAATGTATATAGAGCGTTTGATAACATTCGTGCCAACGCTCGTATGTGTACAGAGCGCGGTAAACTGAACAAAAAAGTCCTTTATCGTTTTGCAATCTTCGTAATAATAATTGAGGTATTAAAAACGATTGACGAATGATAGCGCGTTGCGCACGGCTAGATCGTGTTTGATTTTATTTTACAGTAAATAATTAAAAGTGTTGGCATTATCAAATACCCTGTATATTTTGCAAATTACACGAGACATTGTACGCGTACATATCTATAGGAACAACCCGGTGGCATTTTGGATCTTATTGGTGGAATCTTCCAGGGTAACGCCAAAGTTGAACTCGGGCAGAGAGAAGGCTTCAGCAAAAGGGACATTCAGAAAATCAGGAGAATGTACAGGTGCAGCAAACGTAGGCGTAGTCAGTACTGATGACGGGACACAACCGGTTTGATAATAAAATGCATTTAACATATAAAAAATTCTTAATTAGAATTCGCCGACATAAATCTGTGCGCAATATGAAGAAATGTCTAGTCTAATCTTATACGTGTACAAGGAAAAGTAAAAAAAAAGGTCTCTTTAGAGACTTATTTCTTAGAAATTTGCGAACATTTGCAACGAAGCGCAGATTATTGTATAATTATTTTTACCAGAGTTACACTTTGAGTCAAGTATTTCTGGATCAAGTTTGTTTGAATATTCTCACACAATGACTATTGTTGAAAAATTCAAATAGCTAGTAACTTGGCTGCAAAGCCGATTATGAAGGTAAAACTGAAGACGTTATTGATGTCCAGCGTAAAATGCGATCTTAAAAACAATAACGGCAAAAGTGATCAGTATTATTATCTATCAATGTCGTCATCATCGTATATTGTAATTATAAATGTATCTATCTTAAGTATTAAGAATTATAGATTATAATATATGTATAAGTGCATTATTTACAGCATTCTTTTGTTGAAAGAGCCCTCCCGAATTAAAATTTTGCTCTTACTGTTGACTTTGCATGAAAACATCGAATGGGAGTTTTTGTTTGATAAATTAAAATGTATTGCACATATTCTAAAATCACGATACACTTTAAAAGTGATAATACACTTCGCAAAAATATTCTTTATTTGTACATCATCTTATAAGTGCTTTGTAGGTGAATACACTGCGGCAATGTACTATATTTACAGGAGAAGTTTCTTATTCTACTTATTTTCGGTGGAAATGCAAAAAGGAATCGCAGTTGCGGATAATTTGCTTATTAAAAATTATTGCGATTAATAAATTATTTGGTACAATCCGGGAAACAAACTTAAATGTAAATTAAATAGAGCACCAAATAAACGTAGAACAAAATCTTAAACTGTAACTAAGAAAAGTTGCGACATTATTTCTTTTTAATGGCCAAAAAGGTATTTTACTGAAAAATTGTTGTTTTGATAAAAATAGAAAATTAGGTAAGTAATATAACTTATCGAGAAGGAAAAAGAAATACATACTATTGAATAATAATTATCGAAAAATCTTTGAACAAAATGTTCAAAAATCGCCGGAAGATTATAAATCTGCGTCAGTATAAAGCGTATGTTTTTTACTTATATTAAAAAATTTGCAGTATATAAAAATCTAAAAGAGAATAAAGCGCGAATAAAAAATACCTAAAAAAATTGAAAATCTCTTCAAACTCCTTTACATTTTTGAGTTGTTTGTGTCTGAGACACGGTGCCTTTTATGAAATGATAACGCTAAGAACAGTGCAGTCGATTAAACGAATTCGAATCAACCGATCCAAGTCTTCTTGATGAAGTCTGCCGCTCTTTCACCTGCAACATGGATGTATATACACACACATATATCGGATGAAAACGGAGAAAAAGAAAAAAAGTGTTACATACCAATCATAATCGCCGGCGCGTTCGTATTGCCGGACGTCACTTTTGGCATGATGCTCGTATCGGCCACCCTTACACCACGCACCCCTCTGACCCGCAGCTGATTGTCAACCACGGCCAAAGGATCGTCCGGCGGCCCCATCTTGCAGGAACCCGCCTGATGATTTTCGGGCGCGGTGTCGTGACGAATCGCACACGCCCAATAAGCGTCGCAACCGAATTTGAGATGCTCGCAATTCTTCACGGGAGTTTGGTCGAGCTGAAAACCGTACCTAAAACAAATTTCAGCAAATTCACGCTTCAATTAAGATCAAATAAAATTAATTAAAAGTTTCAAGTTATTTATGAATGATAAAAAAATAATTACAATAAAAGTACTGAAATAAGAGAAGTTTTATCCTTCGAAAGAACAGAAGTGTGGCATTTATTTGAGCGAATAAAAAAGTTGTAGCGCAATGACTAAAAAAATATTATAAACTGTTTTTTACTTGAAATTATCTCTTCAGAATCAAGTTTCGTTGCTTCTATATTCCGCTAAGATTTATGCATGTTTCACTTTCGTTCGCATTAAGCCGTTAAAACAAAATAAAGGGAGTTTGATACCTCTTGAGCGCCTCGGTCTCCGATAGTTGGATGCTGAACTTAATAGCTTCCACGAGAGCAGCCACGTCGTCGGGATGAGTCAGGTATTTGGGATAGATCAACGGCTTAGAGAGAGGATCGTTGTTTCGCAAACGCAGGTAACCACGGCTCTTCGGGTGCAGGATCGTCGGGATGATATAGATACTGCGGTTCGCGCCCTTCTTCTCACCCACCATACCGGTCTCCGCACAGTCGGCTAGGTAACCGCCGAAGATCAGTTGAACATCAGGATGATCCTCTCTCGAATCCGCGTACTTCGTGTTTATCATTGCCGTCACCTCGGATATTCCTAAATTAAAAAAAATTGATATTTTAATAAATAAAACTGCAAGAAAAAATATGTTTTTGAAATAGTATTGTGAATCTGGCAAAGTATCGCTGATTCTTTTCCCTGAATATTTAATTTTCACAATAATCTAGATAGTAAAGTCACTTAATAAAATTCAATCATTGATACGAATCTTGATTCATAATTGATCACGTTGTCAGGCGTGTTTTGTAATTTCAGTACTCGAGCGAGATGCAATCAACATCTCTGTAACGTTTAACATTCATTCATCAACCTTTACGTAATTTAATAGAACGCCGTCGGAATCGCATAGCTGAATCGCGTTATCCGGCGTGGCCGATGTAAAAAGAACGATCTGCATTTAACAAGATAGAATTACGCTATTACACTTTCGCGCTGCGCCGACGGCGATTTTGTACGAAGCAACGAAAAGAAGCGAGAGACGCGATCCGATATGACGGGGAGTTCAGGCCCCGGAGGGTGATGGTCGTTAAGAACCGGCTCAGCTTGAGGCTATCGATCGTGTCTTAAAAAGCGCTTCGTGTTATAAACGAACGGGCCTCGTGAAGGAAATACGCGTTACGAATACGGCGAAAAATATCTGCATAATTTCCCGAACAATTTACTACCGATACGAAACTATGCGCTTGCTTTATTTCTAGCGAGTAACCCCCGTCTTCGATTAATGATCAAAGGTGCACGTGAGAGCGGAGCTAAAGTTAATGCTCCTCGAACGGAGTTGCCTAATTGGGCGTATTAATTAAATGATCAAACGTGCAAAAAGTGCGAGGCCGGCGAATCAGCTCCGGACGAACTTTCTCAACATATACTTTCTTTCAGTATTATTTATCGACTAACGTATTATAACAAACGCAAATGCCTATAACACTGTCGAATCTAATCGAATCGAAGTTGGATGCTTACTCTTATTTTCATCCTAATTGATAATTTAAAATTCTCGCTCTTTTTAGACAGAGAAAGACAAAGTGATTTATATCTTTCGGCAAAGCGTTTTATTATTTACGAGAATATCACCGTGGATTATACACGGTATTAATAATGTGTCAGTTTTAGAAAATTAGATCATTAATGTTATATTTATGGATGGATATTACAGTAATCAAATCAATAATAGCACAATGTGAGAAAAGTTATTACAACAGTCGATGCATACATTTATGTACAAAATATGTAAAATAGCGGCACGGAATCGGGTTCGTCGGATAATTCACGTTGATAGATCGTAAAAGTAGAGTCACGATCGTTGGTTTAAAATCGAGTCGCAATTCGGACGACGGTAAATAGACCTATCAGTCGGGATAAGTCACGTAATCGCGGATCGGCCGACACGAACGTGATCATTGTGCAATATACTTTCACTGCTCGTGCACGAAGCCCGTGAATTGACGTTCCGAGATGCAGCATTTTCGACATAGTAAACAGGAAGAAATGGGCTGGTAACAAGATTATTGCGCGCTCAATGAAATCGCAATCCTGCCGAGAGTTTTCGAATTCCAATATATAACAACGGATGGAAAATAATTCCATTATTGTCTAACGGTGAAACACTGGTGAAACACTCTCTTCAAGTTCCATCTTTATCTTATCTTATTATTTATACAATTTTAATCTCTTGTTGTCATACCTGTGCCGGACATCAGGCCGTCCCTGAACAGCAAGTATTCCATGGCGGTCGCCCAATTCAGAGGAGTGGTGTCAGTATCATTGATGGTGAAGGCCAGAGCGTAGGCGACGTGATTATGAAGATTTTTGCCGACCCCCGGAAGATCGCGAACGACTGGCACACCTACCGCGTTGAGCTCCTCTCGAGGCCCTATGCCGCTGTTTAGCAGAATTTGCGGCGAATTGACGGCACCTATAAACACACAATTTAATTATAAAGATATCGTTCCAACGCTGTGACAATGCTGCAGAATTTACGTATTTCTTTCTCTAATTAAAAAAAGTTATGAAGGTTATTCATCTCTCGATTATCGGTTTAAAAATCAATTTTATCATCTATTAAATATTTAAATCTATTTAGTAATTATTTAAAGATAATGTGCCTCTGTTCTGTACGTATCTTCCGTCGTTTTAACGCTATCGTAAATCCCCGAGAATATTTCCGACGCGCAATTTGTATTGTTCGAGAGAAACCGGACATCTCTCGAGACAATTTACGGACGGATAAATAATTAAGACTGACTTCTATGGAACGTGTATGTTTCTAAACATAGATTTCTATATCTATCTATTGATTTTCAATGTGTAGGCCAAACGCAATATAATGTAATATATATATAGCTTATGTACACGTATATATGTAATTTTTTAAATATTTACACGTTATGCCATTTAAAGATACATTAATGATCATTAACGAAGCGCTATGTCATCGATCGGAAAAATTACCTCCGCTGACGATCACTTCCTTCATCACTGTCACGTGTTTTGTCATTCCGTCGTGAACAAATTCGACGCCAATCGCCCGGTTGTTCTCATCGAAGAGGATCTTCGTCGCCGTCGAGTTCAGCATTATATGGAAATTTGGTCGGTTCCTGGCGGGACGCAGAAAAGCGCGCGCCGTGGACAATCGCGAGCCGTTTCTGGACGTGGTCTGCGCTATAGCAAATCCGGTGTGCGTCCGTCCATTCAAATCGACCGTGTCGTATCCTGATACATAGATAAGAATAATTGAAAATTGAAAGCAAAACTAGAGTAATCCAATCATTTCGAATCTTTTCATTAAATCTTTGCGAATTGCGGAAATTAAACTTCGCTGTTAGCACAAATATAAATTGTTTCACCAAAAAGTTGTTCAGTTTGTAGCAAATATTGAATTCTTCAATCAAATCATTGTTAAAGTAAAATTGTTTTGAAACGGAGAGATCTCCTTGATCCGCAATATGTTAATAGAATGAAAAGTTTTATGGAAAAGCAGTCGCCGAGTCTCGATTGCACGTACCTAATTCCTTTCCAGCATCCAAGAGAGCGAAACTCAATGGCGGATGATAAGGGAACTGCGTGACCGTGAGCGGCCCACCAACTCCGTGATAACCGTAATCCATGTTGTTTACTTGCTGATTATCCTCGCTTCTTATGAAAAACGGAAGGACATCGCGATAAGACCATCCCACGTTACCAAGTCTGGTCCAGTCATCGTAATCCTTGCGCGATCCTCGCATGTACATCATCCCGTTCATGACGCTGGTGCCGCCGAGAACCTACAAAATTTCACATTTTACACTGGTAAAAATATCTGCTTAACAAACAGACTGGAATAAAGATAAAAAAATTTGGTAGACACGCAATGCATATATGATTTTTTCGAAAAGTAAAATATAAATTTAACATTGAATCCTGCGTACTTTTCCTCTAGGCCAGTAACATTTTTTGTCATCCTTGTTCAAGCAAGCTTCGTCCTCGCTTTCAGTAGTGTATTGCCAATCGATATCGCTGCCGATAAAGTTGAAGAAAAATGAAGGTATTTGAGTGCCAGTCGGCTCGTCCAATCCAGCTTCCAGGAGTAACACGGAAAATCTCGGTTCCTCCGATAATCTGGCTGCGACAGTTGCGCCGGCGCTTCCGCTTCCGATTACGACAAAGTCGTACCTAAAAAGAAAAAAATATATATATTACAATATTAATTTAGATTCAATTAATATTGGATGTCTAGGCAATTGTTTTGCAAACAACATTACAGAAATATAATCGAGAATAAACTAGATTAGTTTTCAATCAACGAGTATATCGTGCACTCATTTTCTGCATTAATTATTGAATTTATTCGGATACATAAAGTGACAAAATAGGCCTAAAAATTCTGGTGTGCGCGCTTTTTGCCAACCGGAATTTCAGTCGCTCCCTTACCTAGAAGACCACATTTCGAAAGCAAGATTGTTGTGGCACGGAAGATTATTTAATTCCGACGAATTATGGCGCATACACGTTTGCGAAAGACACGTTAATTAGCAAAGTCGCATTATTCAGCTATTTTTTGCTTTACAAATTAGAAAACAGGTTACAGGGCCAGCGGAATTATATCGCAGCATTGTAAGCATTTAAATACATCCATTACTTTCTCTTTTTAAAGATGAATAGAATAAATTTATTACAATTAAAAAAAAATACTATAGTTCTGGCAAATTAAATTAAATTATTTACTTTCTTACAAAATATTCTTCCCTTTATTTAATTCAGCAATTAAATCTATAATTATTAATATATAATACTTAATGATTCAATGAGCTGATCCTCATGTTTAATTAAGTTGATAAATTTTTACTTTTTAATTTGCTTATATAAATTAATGAACGTTGCATCATCGATATTGAGAAATTTCGATCGACTTTGCGTCTCAGCAGACCCCGTGAATAGGGAGCACCCTTTTTCTTCTAGCCAAGCCTCTGCCAACATCGGGCGAAAGGTGGGTTTCTCAGGAGGTTGCTCAGGACGATCATAAGTATCTGTGGTATATGCTTTCAGCTGAATGCCACGGCGTGTACACATATTACGCGGGACAATGACATACTTTTACGCGCGGAACTCGATAGAGCGGTGTATACATAATTCTATATGTCGTTACAATCGCAACTGCACTTTCAACTGTGTACATTCTTCGATTAATTAAAAATCAATTTCATTTAATGTCGAGACGCTTTGATCTTTTAAATTGTAAACAACTAGAAGAATGCAAATTTTTTCCTTTGACTTTATTGTCACTTATTTATCGCTGCAATAGGAAACAGATGCACAAAATTAAGCAATTTTCAAATCGCTGAAATTCATCGCAGACGAAAAATTTTTCATAAATTGTTATAAATTTTTCAAGAAAAATTTTTGTATCAAGCTGCAGAGTGTAGAACGTACGAAACGTTCTTTTTTGAGTTTAGAAGTATAAAGATGAAAAGTTCTTAGAAAACGGGCTAAAGCATGTAAAAGTATAAGTTTCAAACTTTAAAATGTTTTTTTATATTTTTTTTGTCTACAATGATTTTTTGCAGAGTTACCGTAGTTTGAAAATTGGTAAATTTTAAGCGTCTGACGTCTTGACGCGGTAGAACAGTGCGCGCCATTAGTACGGGATCGTGCGTATTAATGGCGTGCGCTCAGCCAGTCGGCCGTGTTCTGCCGCTTCGAGACGTTTAGACGCTTAAAATGTAGCAATTTTCAAACAGTTATAACTCAGTAAAAAATCATTGTAGACAAAAAAATAAAAAAGCATTTTAAAGCTTGAAACTTATACTTTCGCGTGCATTAGTCCATTTTCTAAAAATTTTTTTATTTTTACAGTCTTGAGCTTGAAAAAACAATGCATTATTTTCAACACTCTGTAACTTAATAAAAAAATTTTTCTTAAAATTTATGACAAGTGCCAAAAATTACAACATTTTATCTATGCAAAGCGTTTTTTTTTAATTTTACTACAATTTTTTGTCCAAATTACGCGACTCTAAAATCAATTTCACATTCTGTAAAAAAAATCACCGGCAGTGGCATTAGCGTAAAAAATACAGGTTTAGCTTCAAAGTCGCGTAACCCGGACAAAAAAAATCGTAGCAAAATTGTAAAAAACGCATTTTGTAAAATGTTGTAATTTTTGACATTTGCCATAAATTTTGCGAGAAAAATTTTGTTGTGAGACATTTGATACAAATACAATACCAGTTACATTAGGTTGATTTACATATACATTAGGTTGATTTACTATGCTGCTATTGTGCTTTTGAATCTAATTTCCAACATTACTGAGGGATGTGTTTAAAAATATAGTATAAATAAACGAGGTTTCTCATGTATATGTAAATTTGGCAAAATATTACGCCAAGTAATTCAAGTTTGTTTAATTGCTGTGCGTAAAGACAGATCGAGAGAGAGAAAGAGAGACTTACTAGCGTTTGAAAACCTGTAAACGCAGATTAAACCTGTTCTTATCTTCGCTAAACAGGTTTTCGTATGACACATACCAGATCTCACGACACGTTTTATTATTTTTCTTTTATTAATGACCATAATTTCGCAAAACACTTTAATGCGTTTGATATTAGTCCTACAATGTGTTGTTTGAAAAATTTTATTTGGTTTAATGTGTTAACGCGTTTTCTGGCATGTAAATGGTCAGCGTGACGTCAGCAGCGTTAAGATTTTATTGATTAATATCTTAATTTGCGTACTTTTCCATCAGTACTTTTTCACGCTTCCCGTAAGAATTACGCCTTTTGCGCGTCGGTGCATGTGGCACAGGTGCGACGACTAGATGTGACGCAACGAGGAGGAGATGCATCGAAACAATGGCCTGCAGTATTACGTACGTGTGTATACAACGATTCCACGGATAGAGACGCGCATGGATGCTCATTTCCGAAAGGAGAAGAAGGTGGAGAGTGTCAGACGTTCCTACGGTATTACGTGAACAACGTGCGCGACACAATCGCAGCTCGTATTTAGGATTCGTCGTGGAACGCTTCCCGCGGATGCGAATGCTCTCTTCGCGGAAGAAATCTCTTCCATCGATAAGTGTTAAGATATCCCAGGAGAAAAGGCGACGTGTTATTATCTTCAATGTGCACAATGCAACGAGGTGCAACATAGTCACAGTCACGAGATAAAGAAACTTGGACGGTGGAGTCGCACTTGCGCGACTGTATCTTTTGTCCTCGCTCGAGTAATTAAACAGCGTGAAATGAGGAAAGCATCTTGAAAGTTTCCAAACCCAATTTGGCAATAATCGTAGATAGTTGCAGCAAATTTATGTCAGCAAATAATAACTTGGCAAATTAATTTATAAATATATTATTTTTAGCAGAAACAAGCGAGGAATCTCAGGTCAATATTTTTATGACGCTCTTATGGATACAAGTTTACAAGACGAATCTTTTTTAGATATTTTCTAAACTAGTGAAAAATGCGTGTCGCATAAAAATCGATACACTTTCTTATATTTACACGTGGATAATATTCACAGTGAATCGAGCGACTGTATTTATCGTTATCGCGCAATCGCCGAAAAAAATCGACGAGGTCGATCAATTCTCTCCTTTATTTATCCGTAATTTATGTATTAGAATTGACAATCACTTTCCTTTTAGAATAGCCTTCACATGAAATTTACCTGGCGTTGACATTGCTCGGCGGTGCAGGTCTGTTACACGGGTCCTCGAGGTCGCATTGACTACGCAGGAAAACCTCGAGCAGCCCCATGAAGAGCATGAAGGACGGTCCGCCGCATGTCGAGGCCAAAGTAGGTCCTGTGGACGCGGTTAACGGACAGTTGCAACTCATCTGGAACAGAGAGATGCCATGTTACCCTGTGTAAGTGATGACTTTGCGGAAATTGGATTTATTGTGCCACGATATCGAGTGGTTCGCTTTAACATATAGACACACTTGGATTTAATTGGATTTAATCGAAGAAAAATATTTTCATGCAGAACGTTTCTGTTTTTCTTTTTGCATAGCAATATTAAAAGCAAATAAAGACGAGGAAAAATTTCGATATTAAAATTTGTCAATTTTTTTTATAAATATTACTTTCGACGAATGCGCGTGTTGCTTTTAGATATTTACTTTTAGTTGCATCTTCAAAGCTGCGCTACTAACCGAAGTAAATCCAAATTTACAACAATTCAATTTATGCGCATTTAATATATTTATTGATATAACTACACCAACCAGTAGATAATTTGTTATTAATTTGAATGCTTGTGAGGAAAGCGATATTTTCATTGAGTAAAGGTGCAAAAGCATCTAAACAGTATTCTTTAAGCGGTCATGCTTCGATGCATCCGCTCCGCCGAGAATGCATTTATCTTCGATCCGGTGCACGGAGCATCGCCGGCGGACCATGAAGCGATCTCCGGCTCCGTGGAAAACAAAAGCCCGAATGAGAGTGAGAGTGCACATACCCGGCCGTCATTGTCCGTCGTAACGAACGTGTAATAGCTCCCATAATAGAGCATGTCCAGGCCGTAAATTCATTCAGGTTTATTAGGCGGCGCGATTGAGAAGGAACATTTGCGACTCCTCGCGGAGGCGCGTCCTTTCGATACACGTGCTTTCTATAACGCAACGACTGCGCCCCTCGGCAGCGAAATGCACGCTGTGTGTGTGTGTGTGTGTGTGTGTGTGTACCTAACTAGTGAAACTTTTTTACACCGTGTGTTTCCTCTTCCGACATTTCTCACAGTCAGATATATAATCACGTGAGGCGTAACGCGCCGAATGTTTGCGAGCTGTGAGTGAAGCGTGACACACGCGGAGCGCACAGAGATGCAATTCTCGAACGGGAGAGAATCTCATGAAAAAAAAAAGCTACGAATCCAATATCATTTCCGTACCGCAAATTATCTTCTCATTCCAGTCAATCAATTTTTTAATGAAGTGCGGTCTTTATCACCGGAATCGTCAGTATACGAGACGTCGTAGCGTAGTCGCATTATGAATGTACGTGACGCAGGACAGTAATGAAGTAAGAAAAAGAAGCTGTAAAACAACATGACTTTCATAATCGTCGGCGAGACAGTGTGCGGTTCTCGGTCAGTGAACGTAACGGTGTTGAGACGGCAACAGCGTGTATGCTTGAAGAGCGTATAGCCGCTGGCAAATTCGCGTTCCTACGATTATATTAAAGTATCATAATGTGACTACCGTAATGACCGAGTGTAATAAATAAAATTTGACGATTCAAACTCCGGAAAGAGGAAGCGTGTTCTAAGAATAAAAAAAAGATCATTGTGACGATATTAATAAAAGGTATTGTCTGCAAATGATCAACGACTTTATGTGCAAATTTGATACGTAGAAGAACTTTTACAATTAATGATATTTCCTATAAGCTCTATATCTATTTATTGTATACGGTTATATAAGATAATTATTTCACGAACTTTGTACTATAAATTTACAAGATGCGGATGATAAAATATAATCTATATAATATCTATCCTTTCTACTTAACTATACTTGAACTACTTTCAAAGGACATCCGTTGAATTATAATCAGACTCTTACGTACTCGACACAAGACGTTAATATGACTCTGATTAATTCGCCCGCCGTTCTAATTAGCTTTTACTCGAAATGGAAAATGACGATAAAGAAAGCAATTTTCGATCGTAATTTAGAACGATGCAAGTACGGTTTTGCGCAACTTCGTATGCTACCATCGTACATACGCGCGTACATTGACCATTGAGAAACCGCTTATTCGTATTACCGCATGCAATTCTACACCACATCTTGTTTTCCATTTTACGCAAATTATCGCCACGAAAATTAGTCTTTACCGTCGTTAGAATCTTTCCATTTTGTTTATTAATTTGGGATACAAATAACTTTTTTGTTCAAGTAAGTTTAAAAATTTCACCTGAATTATTTTTAAAACTTTTAAAGTATTTTGTCATCTTCAAAGTTGAGATAAAACAGCTTGTATCTTTGTAACATTATACTTACTACTTTCGCGTAGTCCAATTCTCTATAATTGAGTGAGATGTTACGTATACATTAAATGATGTACTTTTGTATTTTTAATTGTCACCTGTAATGTGCGTGACACGCAATTCGTGCCTCGTGCGGTCTCAATCGCATACCTAAGCCTTGTAACAGTTTAGAATTTAATTGCTATAATGATTGTTTGCGCGGAAATATTATAGGACATGAGGGTGTTAATCGGAATTTATGTAACTTAAAGAAGAAAAAACTTAACATCGACGTTAACAACGTAATCGCCGCCAAGTATCGTTTTCCGCAAATTACTCAAGCTGTCTGCATGCTTCTCGATTCTGAGGTGCGAAAATGTGAATATTACACACCACGTTACTTATTTTCTGACGTAATTTTTCACGTCAAAATTCGTTGTATTTATTGCATCGTATTATATATATTGTACGTATTATACTCAATTTTTTATTCTAGACATCCTTGTCAAGTTATTGATTATAGCATTATGTAATACATCGCATTCACAATGATGTCAAAAGACCTCCGGCTTTTTGAACGGTATTGTAATTCTAATCTTCATATAATTATAGGATGAGAAATTCAATGAGTCAACGAATTTCGCTACAATTTAATGAATAAAGCAAGGAATTATTCTTTTAAATATCGTCGAATATCCACTTGATTGCTTTTTAATAAACGCATTTGTAAAAAAAACTGTGAAATATTTATTAAAAGGCACATTTTGAATGGTCACTTCTTACGTTTTTCGTAGTTTTTATAAATTTATGTGTGTTAATAATATCGTATCGCATTTCTATTACATAATTCACATAATTCAAATAATTTTTCGATGATATCTTTAAATCCTGCAAATAAACATCCTGCCGATAAGCTTATGAAACATATTATGCATATCCGAAAAGAAGAAGACATAATATAATGGTTATAGCGTTTCAAGGAAAAAGTAGATCGATTCGATGACGCTTAATGCCAAGGTATATGTTAGTACATTATCCACAACCAAATAAGACTGCATCACAGCCGTGTTGGTTTGAAAGAGGAATCAACAACAGGTAATTAATTACATCGCGACATAATTTGAATAACAGAAAACGCGACCTAGACGCCTTTCGCTTATTTAAGCATTTATAGATACACAATTTTTTACAAAGTATTTTTGCACAATCTTTCTTTTTCCTGTTGATAGATGCTCATTGCAATTAATTTATTACCAAAAATTTGCATACTTGTCTCTCACGTGCGTGCATATGGTGTGTGTGTGTGTGTACTTTGCATAGAAAATAATTATATAATTGTACTAAAAATTGGAATTAACATTACTTGGAAAAATTTAATTTTGTTTATCATAGAACTATCGTCATACATATTGATTGAAATTAACTAACTGTGCCTCTTTTTAATCATCATGTTATAATATAAAAAAAATTAAAAAAAATCAATTAAATCTCTGTGGGTATTAATTAATGCTCATGATTCACAAACGTGGAAAATGCAATTTGCATCAATCTCTGTCGTAAATATAATAAACATAAAGAGCATCTTCTACAGCATCGCAAGCTTGACTCGTCAAAATAATGCTAATTTTAAGGTTTGATAGAACACGACTAAAAAAGAACCATACCTTTCAAGGATGATCAGCCGGTATCCTTCGAAAGATAATTGGGAGGAACTCGAAGCACACGATGGCAGTACACGGCGCGGGAAAGATGCACAGGAGAGAACCGTAGCTCGCGGTACCGCGATCAACGGCCGACTAGACTGGTACCATTCTCCATTGCCGTAGTAATATTCGACAACTTCCACCACTTTCCTGCCTTCTCTCTTCTGTTTCTCGTACTCGTAGAAGCGGTTTCGGGGACTTACGTAGAGCAACCCACTCCGAGAAAATTTCGCAAAATGAGTGATGGAATTGAGACAATAATCACACGATTAGTTATTCCATAGTTATACCATTTATTTTTATCGCAAACCATCGCGATCAAAATTTAAATAATACGATAGAATATATTAAAATTACATACAATTATTACCTACTGAAATAATAGCTAATAGTCGTGTAACTGTTGAATATTAATTAAAACAAAAACAATCCCAATTTGAGATTTATAAATCCATTTAGACATATCTTAATTACTTTATCAATGATAAAATCGTTGTTGCTTAAAGATAATGCATAATAAAATCCTCGGAAATTCTGCGAAGAATCTAAGCCCAACATAGTTTATAAATACTTGCCTGCTAAATTCACCAAAAGGAAACAAGGTTGCGCTGGTACCGAAATTCAAAAACTGGTTTTACAGCTTTTGCAAGTCACGTAGAACAAAATAAAAATGTGAAGACAATTATCTGCAGGCATATCTAATTTTTTCCTGATTTAACTATAAATGCGACATTTAAAAAGATCCTTCGAATTCGCCTATATTTATTACTGTCGCGAATGGATATTGTGTCATAAGGATAATTCGCAAGATCATAGTATTCCATGCCTCGAAAGTTATAATGCCGCTTTGTCCTGTTGAAATAGGTAGATTCAATGTTGCAAAATTTTTATGGCGTTTGTTAACGTATCGTACTTCAAAAGCGCGACTCCTTTTTTTCATCCATAATTTGGCTTCTCGTTTTTGCATCGACTAACATTTCTGTCTGTAAATATCAATTACGTGTTGCTGTGTCCAGTCATTGATGTCAGCACATAAAACATTATTCTTAGAGATATATAATGATTATTTTTCATTGTAAGGAATAGAGATAGTAGTTATGAAAATTATTGATATATATATGATGTATAATAGGCAAAAAAAGACTTACGTGACTCATCGTCGATTGAGGCTTCTTTCGCTCTCGGCTATTATATGTTAATTATGAATTCCTAGTTCTTATTTTGCAATTTTTTCTATCTATGCAAAATTGAAAAATGGTAAGTTTTAAAAAACCGAAACAACAAAATTAAACATGACATCACGCGTTTGCAGTTTATTACTCTCAGCTTAATTATTGAATAAAATGTCAATTTAAACGTGTAATGCGAACAAGAAAGAAAGCAATTAATAATTTTAATTTTATCTTTTTCATAAATTTTTTCACATTATTGAATTAAATTGACTTCTTGCTATTTCTCATACTTTTTGAAAATTTTCGAAGATATATGATTGTCTCGCGATATTACACATATATTTATCAGAGATTAAAATTGTATTTATTTTGACTATTGCTTTTATTTGTGCATAATGTGATATTATCAGAATTATTCTTACCTGTGAATCATCGACGCTTGATTGAAATTTTTCTTGATCGACAGATTGCGGCTCGTTCCGTTCTAGATAGTCGTGAATCATGAACCACGGTTGCCAGTCATAGTTCTGCGTGGTTCGAATATAATGGAATAAATAATTATCACGCCAATTTTCTCCATGGAAAATACAATCAACGTTTAATGTGAAGCATATTTACGTCATAGTAATTTAGTTCTTTGTCGCGAACATTTGGTGAAACAGTATTCGTTTTCTCCATGACGGGGAAATTCACATAATCGCCAGAGGAGTCATCAAAATGATTTGTTCTGAAGTTTTCTATCTCGACAGTCGTAGGACCATTTATATAATTGCCAATTTTGTCATCTACAGTTGTTGGATTATTACCTATCTTTGAATCTTCCGTTGTAATTCTATCTGAAATGCAATAATATTTACACTTTTTCTTGCAGAACAAACATTGCCTTATACACAATAAATTATAGATAAAAATATCCTCGAACAATCGTATATGTAAATTCAAATGTAAAAAAATTTTTGTTTGAATAATTTTAATATTTCGATTTGAATTGCACTGTTTATTGGTCAGAGTAGCATCAGTTGGCGCGAATACCTCCAGTTATTTCTGGCAAAGATATCAAAACCGTCTCGTTAAAAGGACGATCAAATGCATAAGTAAGAATCGAGAAAAATTCTTCTTTTCTCGTGTCTTCGATAAGAATCACCGGCTCGTAAGGCGGCAATAAAATTCTGTATGGTTCCTGCGACACGTGGTATCTCCATCCTACGTTGTCATCCTTATCCTTTTCTTTCAACGATACCAAATGCGGATCGTTTTTTATCCAGATCGGGTAACCTTGTCCAACGAAGTTAATGCCTTCCAGCACCACGGGAAGAAGCAATGTGTCGTCGGTTGCTATGTAAATTTTTTTCAGCACTTCTAACCTGTTTGTATCACGCAATGTAGTTACCTTGATTTTTCTGTCAGCAAGTAAAGTTGTCGGAAAAATCGAGTTGTTCGACGAGTCAGAGAATTCAGAAGTGGTCTGGAAAAAGCAACAAATTTTAGCATTTAAATAGTCAATTATAAAATAAAATAATAAGTATCTCTTTATTCTGTATTAGTACATCGAAAATGTTGTCTTCATTGATGGCATCAGTCGTTAATGGTTTATTATTATTTAACCAAGATCGAGAGTAAGGTAATGTCGCATGTAAATCGTTTGTTGATAATTCCAATGGTTTTGCGATTAAATTTGATTGCGTCGTTGTAATTTGCTGACGAGTTGGCAAAATTTCTGTCTTGTGCCTTCTGTATAAGAAACTTATATAATTTGATTATAAAATATGTCGCAAAATAAATATGAAACTCATATTCTTAAAATTATAACATAACAGATATATTTGATTCATAGCATAGAAAAGATTTATAATCAATTTACTTCGGTGTTGTGCGACGTGTACTTTGCTTCCATGTTGAAGTCGCTGCCGAAGTTAACTGAAATCATTAACAAATTTTTCAATAAAATTTTGTTATTTCTGATAAATCTTTTAAATATGAAAAAGCACCTTTTTTCCTGTTATTGAATTATTTGTCTGTGTATTTGCTTTTTTCTCCAATTCTTGGCGAATCAGCTCGCTTTCAATTTGCACCAAAGTTTTTCTGGCAGGGGATTGTTTGGCAATCTGTATTTGTTTGTATTTTTAGTAAATTTTTAATCAATTTTCTGTCGTAAAGTCGTCAGAATTTAGAAAAACAAATGTCAATCTAATTTTATAATGGGAAAGCCGAAATATATTCCGTGTGCAGATTTCGGAAAATTTACAGTGAGTCTTGCATGTCTTTCAAGTAAAGTGCGATATTAGAATTACAAAATTACCTCATTATTATACGTGTTATTTTTGGTAGATGAGATTCGAGATGCACGGCATGACCTTTCGATGGAACAGTTGAAACCCTTACACGAATTTAAAATTTGTACTGTACATGTTTGCATTCGCGGACAGATCCAGCCGTAACAATACTTGCTAATTAGCTCGTTTTCTACAAATAGAAGAATTTTTAAATCAGTATTCAGTAAGTAAACACAATATTTTATTGTTTAATCACGAACAGACCAACAGTGAGTATACAATCAGGCGTATGCGTACACCAACGATCAAGACAATTGTTTTCCGGTCTTCGCAAAAAACACTCATATTCCGAAGTGCAGTTCAAGCTTCTGCATTCGTCGAACCAGATCTGCACATCTGTAAAAAATTTTTCTTTATTATTCAACCGTCAACATAACATTTTTAATGATCGTTGACTTTGCTGCCAGCGTCGATCGACCGGCATTGCGTATTTGTGACTTTTCTTGTGCAGTTTTTTATCTTAGCATTCTGCGCAATTATCTTACGTTTGTATAGTTTAAAAAATATTTTGTTTCCTTTGCTTTAAGTTGTTTAGTCAGTTTTCAGAACTTAAATCCTGCATTTTTCAACAATTTCTATTATATTTAAATGTATTCACGTAAAACATAATTTTAAATAGATAAAAAATTTATAAAAACATTGTCAGATTAAGTGAAATGGTATCCTTCTTTGATGTGACCTTCTGCCTTTGCGCAGCTTTTGATAAGTTTACAGGGTGGGTTGTCGCAATATGTTTCCCGCAAGATGCAGCGTTTTCCCGATGGACATTCGAAGCCGGCGCATGATGCTGCACCCTCGTAATATTCTTGCTCTGGTATACAGCGTGCTACTTGCTGTTTGCACTCTGAAATAATTCATGCTATAATCAGTACGTTGTACAGGATGTTCCATGGGAAGTTGCAAAAACTAATTAGCTATTATTTTTAAGATTGTCTTTAGTTTATATGTAAATAAAACTGCAAAATGTCTTTTGTTAGAAGATATTTAACTTTTTTCGCTTTCTATGGGTGTTTAAAAATGACAGCTAATTAGTTTTAGCAACTTCTTATGAGACACCCTGTACATCTATGTTTTTTAAAAAAAGGTGAATAATTAATTTGGTTGATGCGTATCAATTACTTCCATCCCAATGACATCCCCGAACTCTAATGATGCATATGTGTCCTCTGTTGCAGTGAACGGTGTCGCATGACACAGGTCCCTTCAACGATTCTAAAAATACGTAAAGTTGCATCAAGCTTTTGCACTGATACTGGTTCTTATAAATATATAATTAATCTAAAAGATTTTTAAATTAATTACATATAAAAGTTTTGAAAAAATAAAATAGGAAAATCGAGAGATAGGAAAATGCGAGACAGATAAATTTACACATGACAAGATGTAAAGATGTAAGATTAATCAATGTCTTTTTCGAGAATTTTACCTTTTCTGGATTTAGAACAGTACAACATGCCGGGACAAGGTGGATTTCTGCACGAAAATCTACGTTTAATGCATCGACTGCCGTTCTCGCAACGTAGATGAGCGCATCCTTTCGAGTATGCATTTCCCGATTCTTCTGCTATAAATTAATGTAATTTTCTCGATTTTTGAAGCAAAACATATAAAATTTAATATGAAATTTAGGATCCAACTCACCTTTTGTGTAAAGTCTTTTGAAATCTAAGAGAAAGAAAAACCAAGTTAAACACCAAATCAAAATGTATTCACGTTTCATTATGATAGCACTGGTTACACTCGGCTGTTTCGACGCGTAATGCACGATGCACCTGCGTCGATGCACCTGTAGGTGTTATAATGTAATGTAAGCGCGATTGTAACGAGAGCCATTGTGTATAGGAAAGTATATTGTCAATACAATAGTTATCACTAACTTTATGTCTTGTCGAACGTTTTTATCAACTAACACATATAACTTGAATATATGCAAAATATTATAAAAAATTTGACTTTTAATTTCTAAAAAAATTTCTATTCTACACAGTTGATTGAAATACAGATTTTATACAGTTGTATGTTGAAAGGAAAAAATAACTTAAAGCGTTATACGTAAAATTTTGCGAATCATATACTTACGTTCAAAATTATGTAAGTTCAGGAATTCTAATTTAACTTCTACAGTTAACTCTAAATTTACAATATTAAAATTAGTCATATTAAAAAATAAACTTATATACATGTCGAAATAATAATGAAATACGCTTACAGTTAGCTTTATTGTGTGTGCAGCCTTGTAGAGAGTTTTACAATATATATATATAATAACATTATTTACACAAAACTGACTTTCTGCGTAATGTAAAATTATAATAAGTCACGTAAAATTAAGTTAATACGTAACATTTTTACATATTAGCAGATGTTCTGCAAAGGATCAGCGAGAACCTCGTGCAATTTTTACACGAAAATTTTACATAAAATTAAAAGACACGGTCGTGTCACATGCCAAATTTATGTACAACAAGACTGGCTTTGTATTTTTACGCAAATCGAATTGAAAAGAACTGATTATAACAGCAACAATTTAATTTTCCTCTAATAATTCTTAAGCGGCGTTTTTTAATTGCAATTGTAGCAGTCCGGCAAGCGCGCCAGTAAAACCAGCGTTGTAGTCCAACGTAACTTCTGTGTAGATGTATTCTTCTCGACGATCTTGAAATTTGTCAGCCTCATCTGGTCCAGAAACTAGCGCGCCGTAGAGAATCTGTGGATTTGGCGCGTCTTTGCCATAATCTGGCCATCCGCAGGACGCTGGTCTATCAGGACAAGAAGCTGCGGCATGGTACGGCTGTGTCGGTGGATTCTTGCCGTATCCGACTACGTAACTTCTTCCTGAAAAATCACACAAGTTTTTGTTAGTAAGCGAAAATAAAAGATGATACAAATAAACATACAATTCAAATTGAAACGATAAAGATTTGTTATCGTAAGTTTTACCTGCGCCACCCAGCATATAATCGATTTGTTCCTTGGCAAATTGACGATATTCTTGCGAGTCATCAGAATTTTCTGAATAATCCGCCGCTTCCAAACAGATAAAAGCCACATTAGCGGCATGACAAAGAGTACCGAATTTGTCGATGTACAAAAGACCCTTTGGTGTACGTTTCTGTTCGCGCACCGAGAAGTTGCAAAACGTGCGTGTGGCATTCTGATACTCGGATTGTCCTGTCAGTTGAGCTAGCAGCACCTATAAATTTATATTCCAGTTCAAGTGAGGCAGGAGATACATGATCATTAAATTATTCACAATTTTTTTTTGTAATTAAGAAGCTCTGTTTACTTTGACGACAAGTTTGCAAAGGAATTGTAATTTTCAAAATCACATAAAAATAAATAATAAAATATTTTTATTCTACCTGAATACCGGCGAGTTTCTTGTTGTAGAAAAATTCATTTGGTCGCTTCTCGAGATGAAATTGCTGATAGTGTCGTTCAGCCGCATCGAGATACTTGGGGTCCTCAGTCGCCTTGAAGAGCCAGGCAGCGGCCCATACCAGCTCATCACCGTAATCTGTACTTTCGTAATATAACTCGGTACCACGTATCGCTTCATGATAAAGACCGCGATAAGCGTCGGCAAATTTATACAGTTCCATCGCGTGTTTGAGACACTCGGCACTGTACGCAGGATCGATGCTTCTGAAGACGATGCTCGAAGCTGCGAGAGCGGCCGCTGTTTCGCCGGCGAGATCGGAACCTACGATCAATTGAATGAAAACGACAAATGAAATATATGTATATAATAAGTGCATAAATCAATAAAATCAATACAAAGAGCGTGCAAAAGTAAAAAGCTTTTTAAGTGTAAATAGTTATTTCTATAAAAACGTATGATTAAATGCATTTATATGTAACATATTATTTATTAATCTTTTTATTTTTAATATAAAGAGCTTAGTTTTTTGTTGCTATCGGCCTAAAACATTTTACCGCGTACCAGGATGCTCCGGATCGATCTTGTAAGCTGGTCTGCTGGTGTTTAGGTCTTCGGGTCTTCCCCAAAAGGTATGATCAATGGAGAAATCGCCCACTTGGCCGTACAGCACGTTCTCACTTACATGACATTTGATGAAGTAGTCGCTAGCCCATTTGATGGCTTTACGAACTTCGTCTAATTGACCGGCAGCTCTATATGCCTGCGGCCAGCTGTCTACTCCCCAGGCTAAAACCGTCATCGCAGAAGCCATTGTAAAGCCGAACTTAACAAAGTCACCGGCTAGAAAAAACCATATGTAATTTAATTATCGAAGAATATTTATTTTCCAAATTATTAATGCTCGTCTCATTAAAGTGCGCATTTTTTGATCTTTAACATCTCTTTAAAATTAGATTTGTGGTGGAGCATTGTTCTCCAAATTTTATTGTAAAATTATTTGCTCTGCGCTTTTCGCACACAAGTAGTGAGTTGAGACGTGAAAATTCATTACCATCGTAATATCCTCCGGTTAAATCCTCGCCGTTTGAGCCACGGTCGTTCAATCCAGAATCACCTCTCCATGGGATTCTGTTGTCCTTTGGCAGCTTACCAGAACGCTGCGCCTCGTAAAATAATAAGGATAGCTCTAGAACTTGAGCGTAATCACTTCCATTTTCGATTAGTTTTACGTTGTCTGTCGGAACGGCATTTATCTCACAAGTTAAGGTAATCAATATTACTGGCAGAATCTGTCAATAAACGATATATTAAGAGAATTACGTCACGAGAAGCACATGTAATGATTTTCAGTACACGTGTATCACTTATATGCGAGGGCAATATAGAACAATGTCGCGTAGAGTCTTAAATTTTGTACGCAGACTACAGTCTTATAATATAATCTGCACACGATCCAAGTTTACGTGAATGAAAAGTGACATTGATTTCTCATTTTAATTCGAAGAATGCGATAAAAAAATTTTTTGAGCGAGGAAAATTTGCAACACTACGCACTTCTCGTGCGATCAATCAAATTCTAATACATAATTTAATATTATATTGTGTTCAATCTATTGACTCTCTAGAATTAAAACCTTTTTATTTGATATGGCAGTATAAAAAACAAGAAATACATTATTTTTAAATTTTGTAACGACGTAACCAATATTGTATAATCAATACATCGTTAGCTATAAGTTTTTGGAGATTTTTATAGAATATTCTATATGTTCGTGTATTACAGTCATAAGTTGCTTATTAAAAAATCACGACGTCTATGTATTCCTTATCTATAACATACCGACGATATGACGAAACCGCACGAATTGCCATGATAAATTTGCAAGACACGTGCGAGCTACGTGACGAACTTAAACACGCTGCATTTGAGAGAGCCGAGAGCTGAACTTTTTTTCATGATGATGAGTTCTTTCGATTTTTATTCAGCAGCAAATGTTGCAAATAGCAAATTTTTGCATTCGAAAAACTAATATATTTGAGAAGGAAGGAAGAGCAAGTTCAAAGCTGCGTTTAATTCTGCTTTTGTGTCGCCAAAGCGTTCTCTAACTTCTTTTCCGAGAAAACTTCGGTTCGTCGACCGTGTAATTCTTCTGTATGACAAACGCCAATAGCTTCGACAAATATCGGTCTTATTGTGAACTCGTGGATTCATACTCGCGTGAGAACTTCTCTCGCGGGATATTTGTGAAACAGATGCTCGCCCGAAGCGAGAACAAATACACTCTTCGCTGTTCCGATTTTGTCAAGTCAAATAATTGAATTATTAGCGATAAAGTTTTGACAAAAATAAATAGCAATGAAGGAACCGCAAGAGAAAATCAATTACAGCCAAAGAGACATTAAAAAATAATTTCCATAATAAGAATATTATTAGATAGGCTCTGAATAATTAAAACAATAAGTCAAGAAATAGGGAAAGAGCCGTGCAACGTTGTTCTTACTTGAGGTAGATTGTATTTTATTAAATTAACATATAGTGTAAATGTTTCGGTTCCTTATTTTACCATCTTCGGTACAAATAAGACGGTCCATAATTGTCCATAATTTCAGTTAACAATAATGTAAAAATTAAAACTAAAACAATAAGATAAATTCCACAACATTTTGTAAGGTAACAAGTCTTATTCTTAACACATCACAATTGGAAAAGTAAGACCTTACAAGATGTGGAATTTATCTCATTGTCAGTTTTAATTTTTGACATTATTGTTAAATAATGTTAAACGATATATTGAACGATGTATATCAGTTTTTTGTGGCAAACTCGCAATATACTTCTTTACACGTGTTCGAATAATCCGGCGATGTAACGTTGTAACGCAACAAATAATCACGAATCACCATCGGAGATCAGCGGCAGGGAAAACTCACCGAGACGCACATGACGAAGAGATCGAGCTTCATGCTGCCTTCGCGATGCTGTCGCCCCGGAAGTGCGAATGCGAACGCGACGTGACGTGCCGGTCACGTCGATTCAAGAATCTTGCGTGTGCACACTGTATCATCGATGCCGGCGCGAATTGGCGTGGCACATTTTGCAAGACAGCGCACACGTTGCACCTTCCTTTTGCAAAGACGACGTTTGTCTCTTCGTTCTTCCCTGGAACTGAAAGCAAACGAACGGCTTCTGAAATTTCTGTTCTTTTTATCTCTTGAAAATTCGATAACAATTATTTCACTGAGATATCGACAAATTTTGTAATTTTTGGAGCAATAATAGATTAAATAAAAGGAAAAGCTTATAGTAACTCTTAGAAAATCTCCGATAAATTATCACATTTCACAATCAGCAAGCATAAGATTCATTCACATTGATATCGAGATTATTTCTCAAATTTCCTGGATAACATAAAAAAATATTCTAAATACTTATATAAAAGTATCCAAAATATTAAATATTAAAACTCACCGTAATTTTACCGATTCCGATTGCTGAATATGAATGCCTAGCAACAATCACGCTTCAATCTCACCTGTCGGCATCACAGTCTCAAGGAAAACTCACAGAAGACACTCCATGTTCGTAAACGACGATCCCGATGTCATTCTGTTCACATTACAATTCGCTTCGAAGGATGATGCTTCTTCTACCATCGGTATTTGCATAACTTGCTAATAACTTGCGACAGAATGAGCGCGGCTCATATAAGCACTCTTCTTTCGTTCCACCCCACTTTGATCGCTCGCACTTCGTCTGGTTATTATTCTCCCACTCTCTTTTATTTGTCCACTGAAGTCTCCTTTTATTGATTGCATTTAAATGCAAATCATGCAGATGATTCGTCGCTATTTCTACGAATTTTATTTTTACAACAAAAGAATTAATTAATTCGTGAAAAAAAGTGAAAACGTCTAGTATTTTTGAGCGCAATATTTAGAAAAATGACGTCAAAAGTTAAAAATAGCAATTTTGTACATATATATTTAAGTGCCTTAATTCGTCTGAATTTACTCAATCGACTAATTCACTAACCGACTAATTGACGAGAGCTGACTGACTGACTGACTGATTGACTCGATGACGATTGGCAAGCGACTAAAAGGGCGATAAAGTGGGGACATGTCACAGGAAGAGAAACGAATACCTGTCTCGCATGAGATACCACGAACGAATATAATCACCACTACTATCATCGCGATTGTTGTGAGGATATTTTTATTTGCCGCGATTATCAGAATCGTTAGACCATACAGAGAAAGAGAGAGAGAGAAAGAGAAAGAGAGAGAGAGAGAGAGAGAGAGAGAGAGAGAGAGAGAGAGAGAAAGAAAGAGAGAAACTGGGATAACGAATGACTTTAATGAATACATATGAATATTTAATTAAAAATATTATAGATCCGTAAGGTAAAGAGAACATTTTTGTGAAAAGCAAAAAAAAATTGAAAATAAAGTTAATTAAATAAATTTTACTAACTTACTAATTATTACTTATGTTAAATAATAAGTAAATGCAATTTTAAAATAGTTTTAAATATAAACCGATATACTACATTGAATTTAGCGAGAATGCAATTATACCGATTAAGGTAAAATAAGTTGTAGAAATTTTTCTTTAATATTTAAAATAATTTTTTTTATTTAAAAGAATTTTTCTATCTAATGTTCTAACTAACGTTTTTCTAATTTTAGTGTTATCCGGTAAATCTCTCTCTCTCTGATAATTTAAATGATTAAAATTCAAGTAATAATCACTTCAGGAAATTGAGTGAACGCAAACGGAAACTCGGGTAATTTTAATGTGGTGATTAACTCATACAGCTTTCACTATATGCGACATTTTTATAAAATCTTTCTTTTTTTGTTTCACTTCAGAACAAATTAATGGCCGACATAGGTATCGCAATTGATATAAAAAATTTATTTTTTCTGAGAATAAGAACACTTCTCATATTTTGCATATAAGATCTTAAAAATTCTATGCTGTCAAATGTTTTTGACACGCAATGTCTTAACTACCTGCTCATTATTGATTTCTTATACGCGCTGCGATGAAAATTAAATGTATATTAGAAACGCGTAAGTATGAATTACTAGCACGCTGAATTAATTAAACTCATCAATTAAAAATATAACTTTTTAGAATTTATTTACAAAGCATTTATTACAAACTTGATTGTGATTTCTTATTCGCGTAACTTTCCAAGTAAAATATCAAGAATACCTCATAATGGAAAATACCACGTTGAATGATAAGTACATTAGCGCGTTTCATTTTTGCACATTTGTGTAAACACAATTAATGGCTATTTGTCAAACAAAATGTGAATGTTATCGAACAAATGTGCCTTTATTGGATTTGCTATATTTTCTTATATTTGCTGATTACGAAACTGAACACTACTCGGTTCTCAAACATTACTGCATATTTTAATAATGACATAAACATGTCAGTGATAATTATAAATTAAATAATATGATACATAAGCATGACATACATATATTTGCTTGACATATGTAAAATAATTACAATTTTATCGTACAAATTTTTCACAAAGACGCTAAAATTCTCGATAATAATTTTACACATATAATTACACATTACTCGACATAATTTTACACATGATGCACATTTTGTTAGAACAGAACAGCATTATCAATGAATTTTTATGTAGCAAGAAAATTATAAGAGCAATTATTAGCGTCTCTAATTATAAAAATAAATAAATTATTGTTAATATTTAAAAAAATGTAAAATGCTACCAGCGCTGTATCTGTAAAAATTACTATAAAATTTACTATCTATAAAATTCACTTATTGTTCTGGCGAATTCTCAATTATATTACATTCTATTCGATATCTTTGTTCCACGACAAAAATCGGAAAATTGAATATCGGGCATGAATTGTTTAAAACGCTGTTTGCAATTCAGTTATAGTTGCTTGAAACAAAAATGCATTAAAATTTTCATCGCTAGTGAAATTTACGATCGATTACGACATCGAAAATTTCTGCTGTTGCACGAATAAATGATCCAGTTAACAACTGCCGTTGGCGATGATTATCTACGCTCGGATGTCTTCGGAACGCGTTAGTCACTTTAATCGATCGTGAGCTGCCGGAAAGATCCATCGAGACCGAACAGATCGTCCTGCGTCTTTGGATTACCTGTTCGCAATGCTTCGTTAGATTTCACAGTTTCTTGCTCCGCGAACCATGGTCCATATTCCTCCAATTTTTTTATCCACTTCTCTAAAAGATGACAATATTTATCAAAGAGATTGTTTAACGTTGAAAATGTTAAATGTAAAATATTTTAAGTATGTTAGATATCTTTTCTACATTATTTAATAGTCTCACATTATTTACTCTCATTATATTATTTACATTAATACTTTCATTATTTAATTTAATGTCAAAATATTAAATATAATACTCTGCAAAAAGTATTGTAATGAAAAAGTTTTTAAAAAGAAATCTTTGCAAATTTTTATTCTAAACAGTTTATTTTTAAATATAATGACTTAAAGCTAATCATTCAGGCTGCATTTAAATTGTTACTCGATAAGTAACACATATGACAGATAGCTGTTTACTTCATACATTCATTAAAACTTTATACATTCGCTAAACAAAAAATTATATTTATGCATACTGACACTGAAGTGCATGAATCGATAATAATGAATAAATAATTTTTTGTCTAGCATTGATAAACAGGTTACTAATACTATCGTATACGCAACTCAAGAACAGATGTTTATTTAAATATAACATGTAACTGCTTGCTTTCAGTTTTTATATTTCAAAAACTATTATTTAAAATAAAATTTCGCAAAAACTTTTGTTATTTAATTTTTTGACAGCTTCTTTACTATATCGTTTTAATTCGCGAATTCGAAAATTGTCTAATTTTTTAAGAAAGAAAATTACTTTTACTATCAAAAGCACTGTCGTTTAACTTAAAAAAAAAGAGCATTCTAGAAGAAAGAAAATACTTTATATATAATTCTAAATTAATAAAATAATAAAATGACGTACCATGTATATCTTGGATGGGTCCAGCATCTCCGCCGTACTCAGTCGGCAGTATCTCCTTAGGTATATGATCGTAAAGCGTTTTCAGATCACTATGCATAAAGATGCGATTGCGTATCTTTTCTTTTAGGAGCGGTTTGACGAAATTGAGAATGGTGTCAACAATCGGACTAACGTTGATCACGTGCACTGCCTTCAGTTTCACTGGGTACGCCTCCTGTACGCAGACCAAAAACTTCTTCACCAACGACGGTGTGAACTTGGCGAAGTGTGCGGGCGTCGCGGCGGAAGCGTCGAGGACGTAAACGTCGCCAGCCACGCCGGATTGCTCCTCCTTGAGACGAATATCGCCGATCATCAACGCTAACTGTAATGGCAATAAGTATCTGTTAATATTAATATATGATGTAGAATTATGAAAAATGGCTTGACAATCTGATCCTAAAATCTTAGATACTAAAATTTATTAGCAACTGTTCTTTTTTATTATACGTATGTGTCGGTGATTATGAAAGTGGATTAAGTAAAAAATTGATTTTACTTATTTTGTTATATCGATTTATAAAGTTAAAATATTTGAAAATAAATAAATCATTAAAATATAAGACTTAGTTCATTTTCATAATCACTGGCACATATAGATATATGATGTTATTTTCTTTATAGTTTCATCATTGATGATCGGAATAAATTTACACCTACTTTCATAGCTTCCGGGACGTTGGGAGTTGGTACGTCTTTACTGATTGCTCGCATTACGATTACTCGACGTCCGTCTTTTGTTAAACCAGGCAAAGGCGGTATTTGTCTGCAAAAAGAAAATAAACTAACGTTAACATTTACTTCACTTTTTTATTGCGTATTCTTTTCGACCGATCGAAATCTTAATTATTGCCGATGTATATCGCGTAATCACAACTTCCTTACACAACTTTCACAACTTCTTGCAGTACTGGTTTCGTTATGTCGCGATTAGAGAAAAATTCGGGGATCATCGTGCGCATCGTGAAGTAATTGTCCAGCTTTCGTTTGCATACCTCCAAAGAGAATTTGGATCCACGTAGAAATGTTAGTATTCTTTGGTCATCTAAAAAGAAATAAGATTATATTATTTTGAGTGCCGATAACTGATCAATTTTAAAGCTCACTTCATTCAGTGTATAAAGTTATAAATTTCTATAGAAATATATTCAGATATATATATATATATATATTTATAATTTTTCTCAAATGTTTTCTATATTTCTACATTTTGCACATAAAATTATATGTAAGATTTCACCTCAAATTTTGTTTCGAATTAGCTTTTGTTTCCATCTCTGCTTTAAGTGGATTTTATTCATTACATTTAGGATTAGCAGTGTAAGTTGTTTTGCGATTATTTTTTAATAGCTTAATCAAAGTATGTACCGTCAAACTGAGGTAAATGCGGTTGTTTGGCAAACCATTCTTTGATAATTTCGACATCCTTATTGCGCGTCGCTGGATTCTCGTTCAGCTCCACTCGTATCTGCTTAGACATTTCCTCGGTAGGCTGTATCAGCAACATCTATAAACAGATCACGATAGAAAACATCATGGAAAATATACACAACAAGCAAATAAAAAAATTCTCTTAGTAAATTAATCATAAAATAGATCCAGCTCTTTTTTTATACTAGAGAATTTTTTCTTTACATTATGCTTTATTATGTATTATGCTGACTCATTTTCGGTTACATTTATTCGCGTAATGTGCACATAAGAATTGCACAACTAGTTAAGATACCCATCGTTCTTATGTCAGGAATTAATGCTGACCAAAGGCTTGCTCAACCAAAACTTTCTCTACCGCGCAGCCTCGTTAAACGTTTCAGATGATGAAGCAAAATAAATGTTTCTTAGATCTTAGATTTTTATCTATTATCTTTCCTTGTTTTTCAGAAATGATACAATGTTCCAAGATTATTTTTATTGGCAATATAAACTTTTTAAGTGTCATTGAAAAAAATTTGTAATTTTTATTGTTTATAATTTAGAAAATGTTGGGATATTATTTATAATCGCTTTGCCATTAAAAATTATTGCATAAAATTCATTATTAAAAAGGAAAAAGTTTCAAAAAATTTGTGAATTGCAATTACTTTGCATTTTCAGTATAATTTCTTTCTTGTCAAAACACCTGTGATGTAAATGTTCTTATTTGCGAGACTATTACTGTTGCAATCATCAGTCTGCGCAGAAAAATTAGTGAACATGAAAGTTTGTGAGTATTTTAAAAGTAAATATATTTTTGCTAAAATATAAGACTGACGGTAGTAATTTTGTGATAAAAAAGATACAATTTAGATATGATAGAAATGATTTATTTTTTAATAAAATTAATAATAAAATTAGTGATAAAATTTTTAAGCTTGACTTTTAACATATCGCTGAAAAATATAAATTATTAACAATAATAAATAGATAGAATAATATTACAACTATTTAATATATTTTTGATTTAGGCATCTAAAAAAGAAAATCAATCTCAAAAAGAAAAGAGAAGTATTTTTTATATATACATAAAATATGGGGACTAAACTTACCTTGCCAGATGTTTAAAGAGATCCAAATACAGGCAGACACTCAGCGTGCAAACGAACGCGACGACGATAACTTTCGGATTATTGCGGAAAGAGAAATGAGCGGAGCGGCGAACTCGAGAGACGGCAAACGAACAACAGAGTGGGAATGATTGCTTCGTGGACCGGTTTTCATTTATACCGTAAGGATGCCCCACTCTTACTTCACTTTCCGTTGTGATACGTGGTGGGAAGAAAATCTGATCGATGAACAATTTTTGGAGGGAATTCCCATCGACAAATTCACGGTCGGCAATTTTCGAAGGAACCGGATAAAATTATTCTATCTCCTTCGTAACGTAAAAGAATTTACATCTAAAATGGTACCAAATTTATTTTATCATTATTCAGACATTAAATATTTATATAATGTAGACAGAATTCAAGATAGAATTTTATACAAATTGTCTAAAGTGGATGCCAGTGTGATGTCAAAAATTGTTTATTGTGACTTATTCATGATACGAAAAAACAGAATTAACATATAAATGGCTGTTTTTGTACACATAGCGTTATTATTCTATAATAATAGTTTAAAAATACAGGGGCAGCTTTTTATAATATAAATATTATAATTTTTTGCGCATAGCTTTAAAACAACAGTTTGATCAATACAGAGACTTCTTATAATATAATAATTATAATTTGAGTCATATCATACTTTGTGTCGAAGAAAACCAGCTAGCGATAAATATATAAAATATATAAGACGGATACAATAGATATCTTAATAAGAAAAAAGCATTTATAAATTTACTTGCGTGTCATGTGCAATAATGATCTAAATTGCTTATTAAGAAATATAGTAGTAGTTATATTTTATACAATTGCACAAAATTCATGAATTTGTACGCTTATGTAACACAAAAATTTTTGCGCGATGAGTGCGCCTGGCCGCTTGGCACATACACTAGCATTTCTGCTCTGATAAACCACAAAATCCGGAACTTTCTTTTAAACACGTTTATTTTAAGCCTCTTGTGGTTAAGCAAGCAAAACTATATATTTACTACACAAGAGCAGTTATATTTAAATCGAACATTGAAACAATAAAATCGCAATCAGAGTTTAATTTTTGACGTATTTGTATACTGCATTGCTGCTTATTAAATCTTAATGCATTAATCTTAAAGATATTTTTTGTTATTTGATATTTACAAAAAACTTAAGTTGTTGGTAACGTACATAATAATTATTAATACAAACATTAAATATAATAAAAACAATACAGAATCGAGGTTTTTTTTTAGCAAACAATTAGTAACGCAAAAATCATTGACGTTAACTACTTGTTACAGCGTAGTGCATGTTAGTGAAGATACTTGTACGATAATCGCGGTATTACCGCTCGATTCTTTACTTCCCAGTGCATAGAATTGCAAGCTGACTAATCGCGGCTGTACTCGTGCCCTCGTATTACTTTCTTACGCGAATACGATCGCCAGTATCATGCGTCGTTGTTGCACCAACGGTAAGATTACGCGATCGTCATAATCGAAGGAATTCGCGTGTGTATATGAAATCGCCAGTCGCAATCGCGCGATTTTGTAATTGACTGAAACGAGCAAGAACTTGCCGACGCACACTAGTAAATAAATACTTTTGTAGGTTGAAAGTAAAATGTCAGTTGAATTTCATGCGCACGGTGCTTTTGTTAGATACGTGATATGTATGCGCTGTTTATTGTTTCTAATTTATAATGTCAGATTTCGTCAGTATTGAAATTGATTATACATTTGACATTTTCCTAATAGAATAATTAATTATCATTTATCATATTGCTTGCATAAGACAGCAGTTATCATATGTAAAAATAAAATGTCAATTTCTTATTTTTAGACAGAAGATACGAAATAGGCAATAGGTAAGATAAAATAAAAAATTTAAAGTTAAATAAATTAGTTATTTAAAGCCGACAGTTTAATTGGCAAAATACGTGTGATACTTGGTGTAAATGAAGAAATAATATAAACAAATCATTGCGCAAATATTATTTCTGATGCAATCCCTATGCGAAGCAGATAACAATGCTTACTTGTGCTGTATAAATAAACGTTTATTTATAAATTTTGTAATATAATATTACAATCGCATAATTTTTAGTTATTCCTCTTTTGGACACGTTATTCGCTTTGTATGCATTCTCTCTTTATAATATGTTTCAACGAAAAGATAGCGAAATGTTATTCTTGGAAGTCAGTATTCTTGGGAGATGCACAATATAAGATAAAAAAAATTAAATACGAGAAAAAGTAAAGAAATAGAAAATGGTTAGATTAAATTTTCATTTATCAACTGTGTCTTTCGACACAACGCGACACGACTTAATAAAATAGGAAATGTATTAATCTGAAATATTAGGTCCTATCGTTTTTAGGAAGAGGTCAAGGCAGCCATGACAAGGACCGAATTTACGACACCGATTGCTGTAACGAGGCCGTACGGTTTTGCCTTTAACGAAGTTGAACTTCTAGCTTGCTTCTCTTTCTCAATAGTTGGCGCCTCTTCGGTACTTAATATTGCATTCTAAAAAGAACAAAACTTACATAAAACATTACGTCTAAAATTAATAGATTTTTCGATGAGATTGAAAATTTAGAACTGATATATTATCGCTGAAAATCTTAAATGCAAAAAAGTATTGCTCTTTTCTTTTAAATTACTCTGCATTTTACGATTAGTACTTTAGAAGATAAGACATATTGCATTTTGCATTAATATTAAACGCGAATTAAGCAATCTGAATTTATCTTGAGCAGACATAATATTGAAATAAATTTGTAACATTGCAATAATTGCCTACGCACTAAATCATTAGCATAATAAACAAATGAGGCATTATCATTAATTATCATTGATTAATCATTAATACGATGCAGTAGATGCATCTTACCAATTTTTCAGCGGCATCCTTGTCTTTGCTACTGCGCTTTTGCGCGGATAGTTTTTGCGAGAAAATCTCGATTGGCATAGACGAAATAATTGAAGTATCTCGTCTCGGTCGATTTATGCATTCTGAACCGCGGCAATTGCTTACAACCGCTTTTCTGATCGCGATCGAAAGTTCTGAGATCGCCCTTGCCTCCCGAAGCATTTGATTATTCGGTCCTTGCGCAATGAATGGGATAGGATTTTTGTTTCTGGTACAGATTTGCATCATCACTAAAAGAGTATCCTTCGGAGAGGTCTGCGTCAATAAAAAAAATTATTGTGCGTAAATTAATATTCTATATGCTTTTAAATCATTGTAATAAATTATTTTTGTTAACGACAGTAAGTAATGGCTATTCAATAAAATAATAATTACTTCATTCTGTACAAGGTCGACGACCGCAGCTTGCTCATTTCGCGGTACGGTAGCAATCAATATGTAACCCTTGTTGTTTGGTATAGATTTGAGTTTCTTGATAATATTCCCAATTAAATTGGCCACGGTTGGTTTAAGAGAGAACAGTTTGCGTGATGAAAATCCATTCTCGGAAGCGCGGTCGTTCCTACCCAACGATTCGAGCAGCGAGCGGAAAAAAGCCATTCTTATTTTGGAAAACACATCGAAAAGGTCCCACGTGCTGTAGTTCGTCGTTTCTGCAATCAATAAAAGTTCTTCCAAAATATCCTATGTTTCTTTTTGTTTTATATTTGAAATGTTTATTTGAATTTTACGCTTAGAATTTTACTTTATCTAATTTTGTCTTAAATAATTTTTTTAAATTATTTATAATTTAATGTACCTTTTAATTTAGAGTCAGTCATGACTAAAGAGGGAACAGATTTTGCTCGACCGCTGAGATCCATCATTTGCCAAACATTGCTTTTATGCAATTCTAACTTTGCATCGCTTTTGTTGGATCCGTCAAACTCGGATCTAGGAAAAGAAGGGATCGAGAAATTGCTGCCGGAAATCACGCCTAACGAAATCGATAAGATTAATCGTTAAGACAAGAAATGTTATACAATGTCAGATTTAATAGTCTCTAATATTTCTATCTTCATATTGTTTGATATTTGAATATCTTATATTTTCTATTATTTTTCAATTGACATTTTCGTGCCTGTTGTCATTCCTCTCATATGTCTTGCCCAAAAAAGCAACTCTTCGACATTAGAATGAAGAATACGCTGACAATCACAATTCTCTTCATCATCATCGGAAATTAACACATTGTCCAAGGGAAAACTAGTCTCCATCTTATTGCCACAGTTCTGCGCCATTAATTTTGCATAATATACATTAATTTAAATGTCAAATTTTAAGCAAGCAATGTGAATAAAAAACTCAATATTTATCCTTAAAATATTTAACTACAAATGTAATAACTGCAGAAATTAAATACGTAATTTTTTTTTAGTTTCTTGATCTAACAAACATGCAAAAAAGTTTTTAACCATTTTTCTAAAATTTCTTGTTATATTTTTATCTAATAAAAAAGTAATTAATATTTAATTAAATACTAGAGTACTTGAAGAAATCCTTCAATCGCGAACGGTAATTTTTCCTTGTAATTTTTCCACAAGTCTTCTTCTTTCTTTTCATCTTGATCCATTTTGTCGATCAAAAGCAAAATGACATTTCGAGAAGTACTAGCGACGCTAATATTTTTTTCAGAAGAATTAAAAGTGTTATTCTTCATCTCTGATGTTACGTCGTTAACGATTTTTGTTCCAGCATTGATATATTCCGTTGTCGATCTCTTCTCACGCATCTGATTTTCTGGCATTCCGTCTGTCAGTTTTGTCGACACTTTTGCATTTGTAGCTTGCAAGATCTTGTTCATATCTGTAACTTGCATTTTACTATTTAACGTGGAGTTGCCGAGTATCCTTCGATAGGAGTCCAAGGACGGTGCCGTGTCCCATGTAGCTGGTACATATACTGTTAATGTGCAATCATTAGTCGATAATATGTTCTGAGAAAATGTTCTGGGAAAAAAACACATTATTTAAATGACATATCACGTGTGCTTTATGCATAGTACGTAACAAAAATATACGTAAAAAATAAATGTAAAACGAACATAGAAACATAATCTAATGTCATAAGTCTATAAGAGTAAAACTAAGAGCTGAAAATTAAACAATTGGCTTGTGTAATTAATATACTGTTTTAATATACTATTAATATACTAATTAATATACTAATTAATATACTATTTCTTTATTTATTCTAAATTTTAATTACAAATGTGACGAATGTTCAAACGAAGTAAAGTCAAGAGCAGAGATATGTTCATTACCTGAACGATCCATCGTAAATCCAAAGGAGCATGCTATTGTCGAGCATAACACCGTGAAAATACCAGAATAAAACATGGTATCTTTTGCTAATCAAATTAATTCTTGTTTTATTATGATGTAACATTTATCGCACAACTTATAATATAAAAAATACTTACCTGCGTAATCGACTGTTAATAGAAAAAGAGCAAAATTAAGAAATACAGTATAAGTAATTATTTAATTCTAAATTATCTTTCAATATTCCTAATCTCAAAAATAGCGTCGGTCTTGTTTTCTTTCTGAGAAACAACTAAACTGAACTAAACTACGTATTGCCAATCAATAAAATCGGTTGCCTAAACAACCGATTAAATGAATATTTTAAAGTTACATTATGTGGTGATCAAAATACCATAATTTATAGTGTTTTTTATCTTTTTTACAACATGATCGCCACGCGTAATCCAGTTTTCTAAATTATTTTGACAAGAATTCAAGCCATTTAAGTTTATAATAAGCTAAAAAAGAAAACGTAAAATAAATTTTATATTTTAAATGACAAATTTAAATACCGTGCACAAATATCTCAAATTAAAAATTTCAAAAATAAAAAATGTTTGACTCTTAATTTAATTGTCGCATGACTAAGGGTGATTAGTTGAGACAGTATACTGATATAAGTATTATTACTGTACTATCATATCGGCCATTATATCAAAGTTAGGACTAGCGGCCTAAATAATGAAGAATTTGTTACTATGTACGTTCATGCTTGTGTGTTGCGGCCCCTGTTTTAAGTCGATATGTGACATATTTAACCGTTGAGCTTTACATAGGTCACTCGGCGGTGAACTATGCTCAGCAGATTTACGCTATTTTTTTTGCGTCATTCGTTTTGTATGTATTTGAACTACGCACGAATCATTCATTTGCATCGATCAGCGGTACTTGATGACGGTATGCAACTAACTCCAGAAATTTGCATACACATTTCAATACAAAATATATTATATAAAAAAAAAAATAATAATTTCAACAAATTTTCTACTGGGAAAAATCGATGTGACTTTTATCTAAAGTCTCATCAAAATTAACAGAGAAAGTAAAAAACTAACAGCATTAGGAGCATCAGTCTTCAATTAATATCATTACGCAAGTTTGAAGTGACAAGAATCACTATTCCAATGCGATAAATTGTGAGCGCGATTCGCATATCCCAAGATATATAATAATTAGAAGAGAATCGACACCGCGCGCGCCGATACGACGACATGAACGGAAGCTTTGTTTCACCAGTTGCTAACTTGTGCTCTACGCATCTTGGGACTTTAGACTGTTTTCTTCGTTGAAACTTACTTTACGTTGAAAACTACACGGAGTACGGGTAGTAGCAGTCTTGAATTATTAAGGGGATTATAGACCCCCGCGTACAACCGGGGACGGCGCGAGAAGGTGGCATGGCGTCGAAGAAACGTCGCGGCGCAGCGCAACGAAACGGTCTGCGCCTGGTTACCGGACCCCGATTGGTCCACGTTTGGCACCTACCCTCTGGAAGGGGTTTTCCGTGGCGATAAGGTGGTGGTGGCGGTCAGGTCATAGCCAGGGGGGTTGAAGAATATGCGAGAAAACAGCAGAGGCAGAGGGTACCTAGGCCTCGGCCTCTAGAGACGAGACTGCTCACAACAACGAAGACAAGTTGCAAAACGACGACTGATGGCAGGCCGGCTAGTTAGTTTACTCTTCTTCGTTCTTCTCGTATATCTGGCAAGACTGTTGCAACGTAATCGTGAGGCGTTGAAGGCCGCGTCGTAATTTACCGCGGGACCAAGTTCTTCTTATCTGTAATCTTGGATAGCCGAAGCCATCAAGGTAAGACGTTGCTTGTATTCCAACACAGAAGCTTCTCCAAACAGTGCAAATACTTCAAAAAATTCAAAGATATAGTTACATAATAATAGCTCAAAGTTTCTTTAGCAATGTTTTTCTTTTGTCAAATTTGCTAATAAACAATTTGCTGCAGTACGCAATTTTTTAAGACACTTTTCAAGTTTTGAATGTTTGTTTCATCTACACGGAGAAAATTTTATATCAAAAATTATTATAATATGGCAATAGCCGCGAACCATAATAGGAATTATAAATTTAAATACTATGGCCATTATGTAAAAAACAGAGTAAAAATTTTTATAATTCTATCATAGTATAATAATTTTTTATTTATAAAATTTTTTCCGTATATAAATATAAAATACAACAAATGTCTAAAGAAATATCTGCAGCATTGGAAAATTTTTTATTAAGCGTTGGAAACATTAAATACGAAATAATTTTTTAGTAAATCTTTTAACTCTTTAAAAAGCCATGGTTTGAAATATAAACCGCTCTATATAATACTCTTTAGTGACGATAGTTTATAAAGTAAACCACTTAAAAAATATTTTTTTCCTGGTGTTTCTATTTTATGAACCTACACCTTTAGTGATTCATAATTTAAACCACCCTTTTTTGAGTAATTTACCAAATCTAAATTCTTTTGTTATTTTTTCTGACTCTTTTATAACATAGATCATCTTAATATCACATTTAAGAAATTTTAAGTTCCAAAAAGAATCGGTTTTACTCGATAATTTCTTTTTGCTAAAATTTTCCCTTAAATACATATGTATGTTGTTGCCACGAATTAGTGACATATTCTGATATGGAATAAGATTTGCGTGCTTCTGGAAGTTTTATTTGCTTCACTTTGTGTGCGTCCATTGCTACAAATGATGCAAGTCGCAATGTGCACCGTGTGCAGATGATAAGTGTTAACGCAATCGACTGCAATTAATAACGATTTTAACAACACTCAATATTCGTGCAATGCAAATTCCATTGATTCTCCGTTTAATCAAAGTTTACATTATCAAAACCTTTAATTTGTACAATTGCGGTAATTAAAATCGTTGATAAATTTTCATAACAATCTCGTTCCAAACAAACCGCTTAATCATCACAAAATTAAAGCGATATTCAGCTCATTCGTTCGCTTGTAGATGATGAAGATGAAGCAGCAAGGCCTAGTGGCCGACTTATACCCAAACATAAGGGTCATGAAGATCTTTGGGCATTTTGTATTCAACTATTACGACGATAATTCGTCCAAGTACTTGCATAAAGTGTACTGCTGCGTAAGTAATCACGCGTTTCAGCAATCGTAATATTCTTTTTTAATTGCATTGATAAAATTTGCTCTCCATCTAATCAAATTAAAGTTGAGATTATTCAAAATATTATTCTTTCATTCACAAATCTTAATTATTGACTATTTGTACGACTAAAAATTCACATCATCAAAATCGTCTATTTCTAATCGTTGTAATTTGTCGTTATAAATACGGTATTTTTAAGAAACACCCGGTGGTTACGCCAACAAGTGTGAAAATTATTTTTTCTAGGCAAATTTGTTTTTACTACTATTGCAATTCGGTCTGTGCGCGGTGAATCTGATAATCGAGAGCGCCGACGTCGACGATCTCACGGCCAATACGATCACCCTCCTCTTCTTCACGCACAGCATCGTCAAGGTCGTTTACTTCGCTATTAGGAGTAAGTACTTCTACAGAACGTGGGCGATATGGAACAATCCAAATACCCACCCACTTTTCGCCGAGAGCAATGCCAGATATCATGCAATCGCTCTGAAGAAAATGAGATTGCTGCTCTTCTTGGTTGGCGGTACCACCGTACTAACTGTGGTGGCATGGACCACTCTTACTTTCTTCGAGCACCCGGTGAGGAAGCTTGTCGATCCGGTTACGAATGAGACGACGATTATCGAGGTAATAATAGTTTCAATTTACGGATAATAAAACAAATTATTTTTTACAAAGAAGAAATTAAGAAAATCGGTTAAATTAGGAAAATATTTTCACTTACCGATTATTGTTATTTTGAAATTTTATATAATTAAAATATATTATGCAGTGCATAAATAAAATATCGTCACACATTTTTTATCTTTTTTAATTAATTTAATGTGCGATATGTACATTGTAGCTATATTTTGCACTGTAAGTTTCTACATTTACGCATTTGAACGTAATTTTATTTTACACACGATAACATTTCTTCTCCTTGACGTTTTCCATTTAGTTGCCGCAACTCTTGGTTCGTTCGTTCTATCCATGGGACGCTAGCAAAGGTGTAATGCATATAGTGATGTATCATATACCAGATGTACTGGGTGCTTTTCATGCTTATCAACGCCAATTCGTTGGACGTTCTCTTCTGTTCGTGGCTGTTGTTCGCCTGTGAACAGTTGCAGCACCTCAAACAAATCATGAAGCCTCTTATGGAGCTGAGCGCGACCTTGGACACCGTCGTTCCGAACAGCAGTGAATTATTCAAGGTCTGTCAAAATTTCAGAGATGTAGCAAACTTTTATATTTGTCCTTAATGCAGTATCAATTGATGCTCAAGTTCAAGTCTTTATGCGTATGCAGGCTGGTAGCGCGGATCATCTTCGCGACCAACAAGATAACAATCCTCCACCGCCTCCGCCACCCCAAGGCGACAGCATGCTGGATCTCGATCTCCGTAACATATACAGCAATCGTCAGGACTTCACAGCCACCTTCCGGCCGACCGCTGGTATGACTTTCAACGGCGGCGTAGGACCGAACGGATTGACGAAGAAGCAAGAGATGCTCGTCAGAAGCGCCATTAAATACTGGGTCGAGAGGCACAAGCACATCGTCAGGTAAGTCTTTTCATTTTGTTCAGATTGCAATAATAAATCTGACGGGCTTTAAACGCGAATGTTGTCAATCGCGGACTGGTTTTCCACCGCGAGCAGACAGAGAAGCAAAATAACATGCCGAGATCGTGAGATAAAAGATTCAGTATCGAATATATCGTGATGAGAGATACAAATCGCCCTCGTGCTCTACTTACCCACTCAAGACATATAGTTAATTCATGCAGCTCCTCTAGTATGAGCGAACGGATCATTTCTTTGAAAGTCATCCGCATCTTGTGTGTGAACTAGTGACCCAGAATCTTGTACGACTCTTGCACGCCTTTGGCGCGTAAAGTATTTAGTATATAGTCGGCATCATATTGACTTCATAGAAATGCGCTAACTATTCCCTCAATTATTAAGAAGTGCGCGAAACAAAGTTGCCAAACAATTACGATTATGAATATTGTAGGGCATGCATAGGCATTTTAATTTCTTTAAGTATATAAGTTAATTGATTATTCATATAGATTATTTCATATATCAATATTAGTAATTTATTATTTAATATTAACCTGGTACTATTAAACAAAATAAATATTTTACATAATACTGATAAAGTAATAAAACGATGTTAAACGCTGTGGAATATGAGCGTTGCAATACGTTATGTCGTATCGATACACGTTTAAAATACAACTAATAATATTTAAAAATTTACGAAAATCATCATTAGAAAGTCGATTAAATGAGATAACGAGTATATTTGCTTAATAGATTTATTACTACAATTTAGCTATAGATGTGCAATTAGGCTCTGACAAAGTTAATCGAACTCATTCAAGTTAATCATCGAGCGAAACTTTGCAATTTTGAAACCAAGTAAAACAATTTTTTTAATTATTAGGCATGATGAAACGTCGTTGGACTTAAACGAAATATCATAGAATAGCGATTAATATTTTTCATATTTTATATACGATTTTGCAATGGAATACGAAGCTATTGTACTATAATTTGATCAAAAACGTTGTTTTCGCGTGTGTGTTATGTGAATTGCTACTTGTATTCGATAAAATTTTGAATACGCAAAACATGATCGACGTAATAAAATCGGCGATTGCTCCTCGCAAAAGAACGCGAAAACGTGTTCCTGTAGGTTCGCGGGGGTGCTGAAGCCACTCGTCGGCTGGCAGGGGATGCGCATATTCCCACAGTGGTAAAGTATTTATTCTAAGAAAGCGCGATATTGACCGCAACGGGGGTCGTGTGTTATACGGACTGTGCGAATCATGGGAAGATGTATTCGCCGCGGCGTTCACGTGCACGTAGGCGCACACGTGGTTCATCCGACACATTCGTGATGACAGATTTTCGTCCATGAGTCGTGTTTCTTAAATACATATTTCACATTGCATCATTGAGCAAATTATTTCTTTTCACGACAGCAATTCACGATTCAGAATGATCGACATACACACACACACACACACACACACACACACACACACACACACACACACACACACACACA